CTACCAAACCTCTTCACTACTTCCCAGTCACCTTCCCATAGTGACCTCTGTTGTTTTAAGGCTACTATATTAGCTCCTCTGCAGTGGGCACATCAAACACTTTCTTTTTTTTTTAAATTTTTATTCATATGTCCATACAATGCTTGGGTCATTTCTCCCCTCTGCCCACACCCCCTTCCTTCCCCCCCACCCCCTCCCTTTTTAAGCTACTAATTACGCTGCCTCTGGCAGTGGGCAAACATCAAACACTTTCTTTTTTTTTTAAATTTTTATTCATATGGTCCATAAATGCTTGGTCATTCTCCCTTTCTGCCCCCACCCCCTTCCTTCCCCCCACCCCCTCCCTTTCCCCCCACCCCCTTGCTACCATGGCAGGAAACTATTTTGCCCTTATCTTTAATTTTTGTTTGAAGAGAGAGTATAAGCAATGAAAATCAGGAAGGACCCGAAGGGTTTTTTGGTAAAAAGTTTAGATAAGGATAGCTATACAGGGAGTTGACTCGCATTGATTTCCTGTGCATGTGTGTTACCTTCTAAGTTAATTCTTCTTGAACTAATAACCTTTTCTCTAGTTCCTGGTCCCCTTCTCCTATTGGCCTCAGTTGCTTTAAAGTATCTCATACTAGTTTACATTCCCACCAGCAGTGCAAGAGGGTTTCTTTTTCCCCACATGCTCGCCAATACCTGTTGTTGGTGGTGTTGCTGATGATGGCTATTCTAACAGGGGTGAGGTGAAATCTTAGTGTGGTTTTAATTTGCATTCCCTTTATTGCTAGAGATGGTGAGCATTTTTTCATGAGTATTTTGGCCATTAGAATTTCTTCTTTTGAGAAAGTTCTGTTTAGTTCACATGCCCATTTCTTTATTGGTTCATTAGTTTTGGGAGAATTTAGTTTTTTAAGTTCCCTATATATTCTGGTTATCAGTCCTTTGATGTGTAGCTGGCAAATATTTTTCCACTCTGTGGGTGTCTCTTCAGTTTAGAGACCATTTCTTTTGATGAACAGAAGCTTTTTAGTTTTATGAGGTCCCATTATCTATGCTATCTTTAGTTGCTGTGCTGCTGGGGTTCCATTGAGAAAGTTCTTACCTATACCTACTAATCCAGAGTATTTCCTACTCTTTCCTGTATCAACTTTAGAGTTTGGGTCTGATATTAAGATCCTTGATCCATTTTGAGTTAATATTGGTATAGGGTGATATACATGGATCTAGTTTCAGTTTTTTGCAGACTGCTAACCAGTTTTCCCAGCAGTTTTTGTTGAAGAGGCTGCTATTTCTCCATCGTATATTTTTAGCTCCTTTGTCAAAGACAAGTTGGTTATAGTTGTGTGGCTTCATATCTGGGTCCTCTATTCTGTTCCACTGGTCTTCATGTCTGTTTTTGTGCCAGTACCATGCTGTTTTTATTGTTATTGCTTTGTAATATAGTTTGATGTCAGGTATTGTGATACCTCCTGCATTGTTCTTTTGACTGAGTATTGCCTTGGCTATTCTGGCTCTTGTGTTTCCATATAAATTTCAGTAGATTTTTTCAATCTCTTTAATGAATGTCACTGAAATTTTGATGGGAATTGCATTAAACATGTAGATTACTTTTGGGAGTATAGACATTTTTACTATGTTGATTCTACCAATCCATGAGCATGGGAGATCTCTCCACTTTCTATAGTCTTCCTCAATCTCTTTCTTCAGAAGTTTATAGTTTTCCTTGTAGAGTTCTTTCACATCTTTTGTTAGGTTTACACCTAGGTATTTGATTTTTTTTGAGGCTATTGTAAATGGAATTGTTTTCATATATTCTTTCTCAGTTTGTTCATTATTAGTGTATAGAAATGCTAATGATTTTTCTGTTGATTTTATATCCTGCTACCTTGCTGTAGCTATTGATGATGTCTAGAAGCTTCTGAGTAGAGTTTTTTGGGTCTTTAAGGTATAGGATCATGTCATCTGCAAATAGGGATATTTTGACAGTTTCTTTACCTATTTGTATTCCTTTTATTCCTTCTTCTTGCCTAATTGCTCTGGCTAGGAATTCCAGTACTATGTTGAATAGGAGTGGAGATAGTGGGCATCCTTGTCTGTTCCTGATTTTAGAGGGAATGGTTTCAGTTTTTCTCCGTTAAGTATAATGCTGGCTGTAGGTTTGTCATATATAGCTTTTATAATGTTGAGGTACTTTCTTTCTATTCCTAGTTTTCTTAGAGCTTTTATCATGAAATGGTGTTGGATCTTATCAAAGGTTTTTTCTGCATCTATTGAGATGATCAAGTGGTTTTTGTCTTTGCTTCTGTTAATGTGGTTTATTACGTTTATTGATTTTCATATGTTGAACCACCCCTGCATCCCTGGGATGAAGCCTACTTGGTCGTGGTGAATAATCTTTTTGATGTGTTGCTGAATTCGGTTTGCCATTATTTTGTTGAGGATTTTTGCGTCAGTGTTCATTAAGGAGATTGGCCTTAATCCTGGAGATGGCCTCCAGGCCATCCAGGCTAATCCAGGATTAGCCTCCAATCCTGGAGATGGTTCCTCAGATGTTGTTCTGTAGTTGTCTCACCAAAGGGGAAAAATAAAATAAACCAAAACCACACAAAACAAAACAAAAAACCCACAAAGTGTCCCAAGTTCAAATGCAATACCATTTCAGTAAGTTTTTCAGCATGCAGGTATAGTTCGGTTGTTTTCTCATCAAAGGTAGGGAGAGAGAAAAAAAAAAGAGTCGAGACAGTTCTGAGAATGGTATCTGCGGCTGTGGCTTTCCTGCCTGCTGCTGTCAGCCTGCTGTTGCTGGAGGCTTTATTTATGCAGATCTCATGGGTGAGCTTAGCACTAACCTGGCCCCTCAGGCTTTGTTTACTCAGAGTTCTCCTGTGCGTGAGCCACTGCTACAAGCTTTCCTCTTTCCAAGCTCACTGGGGGAGGTGACACTGCACCTGCTTCTCAGGCCGGCATGTTTATTTACAGTTCACGTGGGAAGTGGGTCTTCCCCCCTCTCCTGTGGAGTTTTCCTCTCACTGCTGCTTTTACAAGTTTTTCCGCTTCTGATTACTGGGCGTGTGCTGCAGCTCCTGCCCACCTGCGTGTTTGTTTACAGCTCACGTGGGAAGTGGGTCTTCCCCCTGTCCTGTGGAGTTTTCCTCCCTCCACCACTTATACAAGCTTTCCTGCTCCTGGTTGCTGCTGCTCCTGCCTTCTCCGGCCTGGCTTGTTTATTTAGTTCTGGGAGGGATTCCCATCCCCCGCTCTTTGGCGCTCAGGGTGCCCCACCCTCTTTGCTACGTGTCTTTATTGTTCTTATTGCTTATTACTCAGTTTCTCTTTTTTTCCCTGGGTGGGGATCGGTCTGTCCAGGGGGCTATGCTGATCTGGCCCAGGGTTTTCTGTGGGAGTACCATGTACCACTTAGCTCACCTTGTGGTCTGTGTCTTCCCAAGCCATCTGAGCACTGGCATCTGGCCTCCTGGTTTCTCCATTTAACGTGAGGTGGAGATGCTCTGCGCAGGCTGGAGGTGTGGAGGGGTCATAGTTTTGCCTCTTCTCAGTGGTTTCATCTGTAAGGTGTATATCCAGTGTCTCTCCAAGATTTTACTTTAGGAGGCATGCTTTCTGCTTCCTCCCTCTAGCCTGCCATCTTGGAATCCTTGATTTTTTTTTTTTGAGGCTATTGTAAATGGAATTTTTCCATATATTCTTTCTCAGTTTGTTCATTGTAGGTGTTTAGAACAGCTAATGATTTTTGTAAGTTGATTTTCTACCCTGCCACCTTGTTGAAACTGTTTATAGTCTCTAGGAGTTTTGGGGTAGAGTTTTTTGGGTCTTTGAAGTGTAGGATCATGCTGTCTGCAAATAAGGATATTTTGGCAGTTTCTTTACCTATTTGTATTCCTTTTATTTCTTCCTCTTGCCTTATTGCTCTGGCTAGGAAGTCCAGGACTATGTTGAATAGGAGTGGGCACCCTTGCCTTGTTCCTGATTTTAGGGGAAATGGTTTCAGTTTTTCTCTATTAAGTATGATGTTGGCTATAGGTTTTTATATATAGCCTTTATAATGTTGAGGTACATTCCTTCTATTCCTAGTTTTCTTAGAGCTTTTATCACGAAGTGGTGATGGATCTTGTTGAAGGCTTTTTTTGCATCTATTGAGATGATCGAGTGGTTTTTGTCTTTGCTTCTATTAATGTGCTGTATTACATTTACAAATTTCCATATGATGAACCACCCCTGTATCCCTGGGAGGAAGCCGACTTGGTCGTGGTGAATGATCTTTCTGATATGTTGTTGGATTCAGTTTGCCATTATTTTATTGAGAATTTTTACATTGATGTTCATTAAGGAGATTGGCCTATAGTTCTCCTTTTTGGATGTGTCTTTGTCTGGTTTTGGGATGAGTGTAATACTGCCTTCATAGAATGAGTTAGGCAGTTTTCCTTCCCTTTCTATTTCATGGAAAAGTTTAAGGAGAGTTGGTATTAGTTCTTCTTTAAAGGTCTGATAAAATTCAACAGAGAATCCATCGGGTCCTCGACTTTTCTGTTTTTGGAGACTCTTGCTCCTTCAGTTTCATTTCGTGTTCTAGATCTATTTAGGTGGTTGATATCCACTTGGTTCAATTTTGGATGGTCCTGAGTATCTAGAAATTTGCCCATTTCTTCAAGAATTTTAAATTTATTGGAATATAGGTTCTCAAAGGTAGTCTCTGATGATTCCCTGGATTTTCCGTGGTTGTTTGTTTGTTTATCTCCAACTTTTGCCATTTCTGATTTTACAGATTTGGGTTTTTTCTCTCCTCATTTTAGTCAGATTTGCCAGGGGTCTGTCAATCTTGTTTATTTTTTGAGAGAACCAGCTTTTTGTTTCGTTGATTCTTTGTATTTTTTTTTTTTTGGTCTGTATCCCCAGTACAACAATAATATGATAATAAAAATTTTAAAAGAATAAAGTGTCATGTAAAAATGTAGCATTCATGTCAAGTGATGGCGAGCATCTCTTTTTTTCAGGCCGTGCTGGGCGAGTGTCTAAAGGGTATTGTTACAGGCTGGTACACAAGGATTTCTGGGACAACTCCATCCCTGACCATGTTGTTCCTGAGATGTTGGTAATGCACTTTGGTTATGGTGAAAGTTAATTTTTATAGTTTTACCAAATAGTCTAATATAATTTTCAGCATCATATAACTTTAATTCCAGAAAAATCACAATACTAACATTGTTTATAAACCACCAGGCACTCTACTAGCGCCCTTAACATGTCATATATCCTTAATGAGAAGAACATTTCCTAGTGTCACCTGGCTCTATAATAGCATTATCTTTAAGTGCTACTATTTTCTGTTTCCTTTTATAATGAGTAATTCTGGATCAGTTCTTCTTTCCCTCCTTTCTGTCTCTCTTTCTCCTCCTATTTCTTTCCTCTTCTGTCTCTTGCCCCTTACTCTTCTTTTTCTTCTTTCTTTCCATGTTTTTGTTTCTTCCTTTTTCTCTTTTCTCATTCTTAGTCTTCTCTGTTTTTTTTTCTTTTTTTTTGTTCTTTAGACTTCTCTATTTTTATTGCTTCTATTTCTCATCTCTCTTGCTTTTCTCTGTCTAGAGCACCAGTCATGGGAATAGGTTATGATTTAAGTTATCTTTTTATTTCTAAATTTAAGTTTTGTTATTCTTAGCGTTGTCCGTTAGGAAGCACAATATTAAAAGTGAAGCTGCTTGACATGGGTGAACCAAGAGCTCTTCTGGCAACTGCCCTTTCTCCACCTAGTCTGAGTGACATAGAGCGTACCATCCTTTTGCTGAAGGAGGTGAGGCTGTCTGGAATTTATTACTGGTGGGAAAAGTTAAGATTTTTATTTTGTTGGGGAATGAAAATTTCATAATCTGTTTTTGCTATTGTAAATTCTGACTCACATTTACAATAGTGTATTTTTTTAAGCATACAAAGTGTGTGCTTAAAAAGTCCAGATGATGACTGATGGGTGACTCCTGGACAATGCCAGCTGTCAGATCAGTTTTGTTGGTGGTTGCTGATGTCCACAACCTTTCCTCCCTCATGTCTCCCCTGCCCCCAGGCCCCTGCTCACTGTGTGCTGTCATTGCAAGATGCTTCTGTAGAGCTCTGTCCCTGTTAGTCTGCTCTCCTGGCTTGGCTCCTCCACCTCATCCTAGCCCTCCGCCTGTTCCTGAAGATGCTGCTTTTCCTACTTTGGCCTCTGTGGCCCACTCCTGACTCATGCTCTGCTTTGACAATTGCCCCCTGGACATAGGAACCAGCTGTGTCCTAGTACATACCTCATTTGATGGGGCTGTGGATATTCTGCTCCTAACCCTCAAAAGCTGATGATGCCACTGGTGTTTTCCCCTTAGATAGGACACCTGCTTAGGTTTCTGTGAAATGCACTTTGTCATCTTCAAAAAGCTTTTGTCTGTACATAGTTTAACAGGTTTTTGTGGTGAGTGACCATGTGGTAATGGTTTTTGAATCCTTTGTTAAGTTGTGAGCTAGGTAGGCTTAAGGAAGTTTCCTTAATTGTTACTTCCCAATAGCATATTCTTTAAAAAAGGAGTGAAATAGTGAGGGTTTCAAGAGCAAATTGGTAGCATCAACCTTTCATAAGTTGACTTAGATGTCTTTTAGAACCTTAGTTATCAAAATTTCATCTTTATTTTTTGTTTTGCACTCTTGCCTTAAGGATAAAAAGGAAAGGTGTGAGTGCATTATTAGTGCTTGCTAATAATGCTAATTTCTTCTTCTTCTTCTTCTTCTTTTTTTGATGGTAGTGGGAATTGAACCCAGGGCCTCATGAGTGCTAGGATAGTGTTTTACCATTTGAACCATGCCCAGTCCACTAATTTGTTTTGTAAAGGTTGGAGCCCTGGCAGTTAGCGGGCAGAGAGAAGATGAAAACCCCCATGATGGTGAACTGACCTTCTTAGGGAGAGTGCTAGCTCAGCTCCCTGTCAATCAGCAGCTGGGTAAACTCATCGTGCTGGGACACGTGTTTGGGTGCCTGGATGAGTGTCTTATCATAGGTGAGTGTGAGGATGGGCATGTGCTGGGAGGTTTGTGTGATGGCTCACTCTAACAGTCTTCCTTCTCTGTGTTTTATCTTAGCGGCAGCTCTCTCTTTGAAGAATTTTTTTGTGATGCCCTTTCGGCAGCATCTTGATGGATATAGGTACTTGCCATTCCTATTAGAAGGGGTCACCTTGTCTTAATAGTGCCAACTGATCTTCTGTTGTCTGTTTGTAGGAACAAAATGAACTTCTCTGGCAGCAGTAAGAGCGACTGCCTTGCGCTTGTGGAGGCATTTAGAGTGAGTCTGCAGGGTGGCACCAGAGATGGCCAGCACACTTTCATATCTGTACATGGGTCAGAGAGAGTTTTTCTCTCATGCAGTATTGTTAGGGTTACCCACATCCAGGGTTAAGTAACAAACTACTGGAAGAGGAGGCATGTGGGGTGGGAGCCCAATTTCATGAAGTTGATCTAAAACTTGTACATTTTCTGGGGTCAAAGTGTGTTGAAATCAGAATTTAAAAAATTCAGTTGGCCACTACATTATTTTGAGGCTGGATCATTTATTTTTAGGCATGGCAGGCTTGCAGACAACGAGGAGAGCTGCGGCATCCCAAGGTTGGTCATGTTTCCTTGTTTCCTTATGGATTATTGTGGGTGACAGATTCCTTAGGACTCTGCCTCAGTTTAGACACTGAATCATGGTGGTGCTGAGGTCTGAGCTGACCTCATGTAGACAGTTGTCATGCTGTCCTCTGGGAGGGGCCATGATCTTAGTGACAGGTCTTTTTGCAGAGTGCCAAGTTTTAGTCACTATGAGAAGGAGGCTGTTTAGCCTGCAGAGCTGCGGGGCTGCTTGTTCCACAGCTCTGCTTCGCACCAGTGTGCTTGTGGATATTAGGCTAGACATGTTGGCTCTGGATTAAGAACCCTGCCTTTTCTACTTTCAGCCAAGTTTAGGTTATGGGCTTAAAAAGAACTTAACCTGGTAGCCTCTATTGCATTTCTTTTGAGTCAGGTTTTCTTCTCCTAAACTGATTAGGCTCCAAAGACCACCAGTAGGTCTATTTTCTACCAATCAGCATGTGACCTGCCCTGGAAAGCTGCTCTCTAGATACACCTATGGGTAGGTGATGTCAGGCATCTTTCCCAAGCAAGTCAGGTTGTATCTGCCTTTAATTTTTGAGACAGGTGAACTCAAAGAATTGTCCCTATGTAACATAATGTGCGTGGCTGGGACTTGTGTTTTCTGGCTTTGGTGTGATGTTAGCACCTGGAGAGGATATGCTGTGGTCACTGTGTGCACTGTTTAGTGGTGCAGGAACTTACATTTACTGCCTAGGTTTTGTATAACAGCCAAATGAAACTCTTAGCATGCTCACACTGAATGTTTGCTTTTATGTATTTAAAGGACGAACTTGACTGGGGACGGTTAAATTACATTCAAATCAAGAGAATTAGAGAGGTAAAGTATGAATTCTTTGACTAAGTGGATGCAGATAAAACTGACTTATTAAATAGTTATTAAGCACCGTAAATGCACAGGCTCCTTCACTTTGTGAGTGCCTCATGTCTTCCCTTTTCCGTGTGATAGCTGCTAGATTCCTATAGGTATTCTTTTTCCGGGTAAAGAAGTCCCTCCCCAGTTGTAGTTTATTTTTATTATTTATTTAGTTAATTCTGGGTTTTCAACTCTGGGTCTCTGGGTTGCCAGGCAGGTACATTACTGCTTGAGCTGTACCCATGGCCCTTTGCTTAGGTAGGGTCTCAAGTTTTCACCTCTGACCAGCCTCAGACTATGTGATCCTCCTACCTACAGCCTCTCGAGTAGCTGGGATCACAGATGCATGCCACCACACCCAGCTTATTGATTGAGATGGGGTCTTCCTAATCACTTCCTCCCTGCTAGGAGTTGGCTTGGAACCATGATCCTCCCAATTTCTGCCTCCCAAGTAGCTGGGATTACAGGCATGAGCCACTGGCCTGAGTCACCATATGTAGTTTAATGAGGAGCGGATGTATAATTTTGTCAGCTGTCTTTTCAGTATTAACATAAGCATGTAGTGCTTTCATTAACTTATTTAACAATTTATGTAACTAAATACATTATGGGTTTCCTACTGTTGATTGAACTTTGTACCCTTTGGCGTAAACCTCCTTGATTGTATTTTCTCTTTAGACATTGCTAGATTCTTTTCCCCTATGGTACTGGGGTTTGAACACAGGGCTTTGCACTTGCTAGGCCAGTACTCTATCACTTGAGCCACTCTGTCAGCTCTTTTTTGTATTGGGTATTTTATAGAGATAGGGTCTCATGAACTATTTGCCAGGGCTGGCCTCAAACTGTGATCCTCCTGATCTCTGCCTCCCAAGTAGCTAGGATTATAGGTGTGAGCCAGCATTGCCCAGGCCATTGCTGGGTTCTTATTGCCAGTGTTTTCTCTAGGATTTTGTAAGTGCATTCTTGAGTAAAATTGGCCTTAGGCTTGTGTGTGTGGGCGCGTTGGTGTGCACGTGCACACACACTCAGTAAGATCAGGTTTCGACCTCAGCGGTCTGTGCCTGGCACAGCATTTAGGTAACAGTTTAATAACTGGGAATACGTTTGTTTAAGTTGGTAGAATCATCCATAAAAGCATTTGTGACCATTGCCTTTTTGAGGTATATATTATTTACTAATTTTTCAAACAGGGTTTTGCTTTGTAGCCCAGGCTGACCTTAAACTGTCTATCCTCCTGCGTCGGCCTCCTGAGTGCTAGGATTGTAAGTATGTGCCATCTTGCCCAGCTGAGGAATAGATGTTTTTAAAAGTGGTGTCAGTTTCCCTTAGAGTTACTGGTCCTTCCTGAGAGGTTTCTAACTCTTTGGGGCATTCTTGAGAATTCCATAATCCATTTAATCTAGATCTTCATGTTATTGGTGTGTGGTTATAAGTGATTTTCTTTCTCTTTTTTTTGTGATACTGGAGTTTTGAACTCAGGGCCACTCCACCAGCCCTTTTTTTGATAGGTGCTTTGGAGGTAGTGTCTCGTGAACTATTTGCTTGAGCTGGCTTGGAACTGAGCTCCTCCTGATCTCTTGCCTCCTGAGTAGCTTGGATTATAGGTGTGGCCACCAGCACCCAGCTGTGTGTGTTCAAAGGGTTCCCAAGGCTACCCTCAGTGTCAGGGGTTAGCTTGAAAGACTCAGAGAACTCAGAATGCTGTCCTTCTGCTTGGGGCTTGTTACAGACAAAGAAGCATGTTAAAACCAGCAGAGAGAAGGGCACATGGGAGGAGGCCAAGAGAGCTCAGGTACAGGCTTCCAGGCCTTCTCTCCCCGGAGAGCCTAAGGACAGTGATGAATGCTCGCAGTAGCTACGTGTGATGAAGGTGTAAGGAATTGCCATCCAGGCGTGCTCACCTGAGTCTTGTTCTTTGGATTGGCTCTGTAGGCCTGGAGTGCTGCTCACCAGCAGATCTTGGTTCCTGAGTCTTCAGCTCCTTCAGAGCCATGGGCCCCACCACCCATATGCCATAGCTAAACTGCTGGTGCCGACACAGTGCCAGGCAAGCAAAGATATTGTCAGCATGCCATTCTTTGCAGAAGGCAGGCCACAGCCAAACCTTTCTTTGGCCTTTCTAAGGTATGGACATCCAGACCTGTGGAGCTAGCCCTTCACTGCACAATTTGTGAGGTTGCTTTTTTTTTTTTGTATTGGGGTTTGAACTCAGGGCCTTGTGCTTGCTACCACTTGAGCCACACCTTCCACCCTTTTTTGCTTTTGTTACATTTTGGATAGGGTCTCTTGTCTTTGCGCAGGACCAGGTTTGGACTACAAGCCAAGTTTCTGCTTCCCAGTAACTGGGATTACAGGTGTGTACCACCACGACCAGCTTACTCGTTGAGATGGGGTCGACCAGCTTACTCGTTGAGATGGGGTCCCACTAACTTTTTGCCAGGTCTGACATCAAACCATAATCTTCCTGACCTCTGCTTCCCTATTAGTTATGATTATAGACATGAGCTACCATGCCTGGCCCTGCTTTTTTTCTATTAATTTAGTTCTTCTGTGTCTCTTGGTTTACTTTTGTAGTCTTCCTGATGTGATTATTTTCTAATTAAAAGCATTTAAAGCTATGACTTTTATTGTGAACATAATCTGTCCACATCTTACTGATTTTTGACCTGTAGGACTGCTGTTCTTGACCATTAATGTCTTTCAGTGTTGTTTTTCTCTTTGATGCTAAGTTCTTTAGAAGAACTTATCATATTTCTGGTGGGAAGGAATATTTTTAGGATCTTATTTTGTTAATTTCTGACTTTACTGTGTTTTATTCAGACTAGGATGATTTTTACTTGATACTTAGATACATTATATGTGATTAGTCTTGTAAGAGGTTTTAGTAGAAACACACGGGCTGACATTTGAATGTGTTTCCCCTGCCTTCCCACAGCCCTGGGCTTTTCTTGTGTCTCCAGAGACAGTGTTACCCAGTTTCTTTGTCCTTTTCATTCTTGTGTGCGCACATGTGCATGTGTGCTTCGGGCGTGCTAGGCACACACTCTCACTGAGCTTCGTCCCAAGCCCCTTTCAGTTTGTTATGCATGCTTTTTCTTAGTTATGTTCACAACCTGTTACTGTGTGTGTGAGTGTTTACTTTTTGTAATGTATTGAGATAATTTTGTAGTGATTTAATTTATGATAAGTTTATAGGAATTTGGAATTGTGTGTTTTCATGTGTGAACATTTAAAGCATGTGAGATAGTTTTTATTACAACTTGGTGGTGTTTTTTTTTCCCAAAAAAAAACCACCACTCTAATCCACAGTGGAGGTTAGCAATATGGTCACAGCTCTCCTGTGCGTTGCACTCCCAGGTGACTGCAGTTAGCATCTGTGCTGGTTGAAGCAGCTGTCTGTGCATAACTGAGGCCATGAGATGCCAGTCGGTCTGCTTTCTTGCTCACTGTTAGTATTGTTTGTACTGAGCTTCTTTCATTCCTTGTTAGTCTTTGTGAGCTGCCTCGTAGCTGTGATGGTCCACTCACACGTTTGTTAATACTTTGCGTCGTTTGCTTACTTTTCTAGTGTTTTCACCATTCTGGGCAACGTATGTATCTTGAGGCATTGGATTTCAGTGTGTTTTTTTTAAGGTAGCTGAGTTGTATGAAGAACTGAAGAACAGAATCGCACAGTTCAACATGTATGTGGATTCTCGGCGGCCCGTCTTGGACCAAGAGTATCGGTATAAGCAGCGCTTCATCCTGCAGGTGTGCTGGGGCTTCTGGGTGCCTTTTCTGATCTTAGTGCTCCTGCAGCTTTTGGTTAGTGTTCTCTCCAGCTGAGCCTCAGAGATTTCAGGACCACAGTGTTCCTGCTGTGTTTTGGAAACCAGGAACCATTCTCATCTTTCCTGTTTCACACCCTTCCTGATATGAGTTGATGATCCAGACAAAGGACTGTTCCTTCTAGGGTGCATGTTTGTGGAGCACCAGCTGTTGCCTACCCCTGCATGAAGAGACAGCCTTCTGTTGCAGTGTTTGGAAGTAAAGGGGCAGCGTGTGGAGCTGTTCTCTTACACTGCACTGTGTCTTCATATGTGGAGCATGCTTCTGCTGCAGGCTTTCAGATAAGGGTTGGCCGATGCACACAGAATTGGGTTTGAGGTGGAAACCCATAAACTGGGTGTGCTGGTAATGGATGTGCTTTTCTGGATGTAAAATTGCCACAGACCTGGGGAAAAGAGTCTTTCATGGGTGTGTGTTTTGCTCAGGACACATTTTTATTAAAGAAGGAACTTTGAAAATTGCTTCTTAGAATAAGTGAATATTAGATGCCAGCCCGCTGCCCTTGGTCAAGTGTCCCTATCAGAGTTGTATCTGCACACCTGGGGCGTGCCTGACCCATCAGAGTCAGTATCCAGGCGAGGGCAGAGAAAGCCCGCCAACCCCAGGGCTCTTTGTGTGCAATTGTTGTGTCCTTGCTTAGCACATCAGTTTTCCAAACCTCATCTGCTTTGAAGAAATGATACATGTTGCGTGTGTGTTATGGGCAAATAACCAAGAGTGTCACTTCCATTGTATGAGGAAGAGGTCTAGTCTATTACATGTTAGATATGTGAACATGCTAGAGTGAAGTGAGAGTCCTGGTCTCTTTTCAGTTTTATCAGAAAAACTGATAAAATTGATGCTACTTTCTCATGAAAACTAGCTTCTCTTCCAGGTTGTATTGGCAGGTGCTTTTTATCCAAATTACTTTACTTTTGGACAGCCAGATGAGGAGATGGCGGTGAGAGAGCTGGCTGGCAAAGACCCAAAGACAACGGTTGTGGTAGGTGATAGATAAGAAGTTGTCCTCAGAGTATATGTGGGCTGAGTCATTGGTTTCCATGGGGAGCTGCCTCTAGTGTGCCTTGTGTCTCTAAAATCACTAAAAACTTTAGGCTTGTTTGGCTTTCAGATACTTCTACTTATTCCTCAGTCTCTTCTTCCTTTATTACAGAAGAGGCGTATAAGAAGGCCTTGAGAATTTATGTGTTCATGGCAAATGTAGATTTGAACATGTGCTATTTGAAGGATTTAAGGCGCTTTTCCATAAATTTTAAGAATGCTTTGTTAATAACTTAATTTTACACAAAGTGCAATTTATTTATTTATTGAGCCTAGAGCTCATAAAATAATACTGATTGGCAGCTTACTTCTGTGGCTTACACCAGGGATCACCTATCCTGAATGCCCAACGCAACTACTTAGAGAGTGTTTATTTCATTTATTTCTTTTTAAATTCAGATTTGAGGGCCCCTCAAAGTCTGAACTAGAAGATCTGACCTAGAACAGCATTTAAGTAACATGCACTTTGGGTAAATCTAATGGTCTAATTTTGCTGTATTAGACTGTTGAACTACTTTAATGAGGAAGAACTAGCCATTAACTTTTTTTTTATTAAAAGTTAGTTAGAATTGAGAAGTCATTAAGTCATTAGGTACACTGATTGATCTAGTCTCTCTATTATGGTTAAAGGTTAGTAAATTGTGTTTTTGCAAACTAAGATGATGAGCAACAGCTTCAAGTTATGAACATGTGACTATCCCATTAGCCTTTATTTAACAGCTAGGACCTGTACTTCTTTATGTTTTACAGTTGAAGCACATTCCTCCCTATGGATTTCTTTACTATAAACAACTGCAATCTCTCTTTAGACAGTGTGGTCAAGTCAAATCCATTGTATTTGATGGTGCAAAGTAAGTACTCCATTTTTAAAGTTAGCATTTATTATGAAAGGGACATAATAATGCTTTAAATGTTTCCAGACTTTGGTTGTTAGGGCTCAGTGCACATGCAAGTGGGTCTTCCTGGAGGCTGCTACTGGTAGCTTTTGAAATGTAGCTTTGGTTTATCTAATTGGAAGATTTATTGTCTCTGTCCAATTCATGATCCTAAAGGAACTAGGACTGTGACCTGTGTTCTTAATGCAAAGAGGGTTCTGCAGAATGGTGTGGTACTGTGTTCTCTTCTCAGCAGGTACCCCTTACTTTAGTATCTTGTCCCCAGATTTTCAAAGTGAGTCACTGACACTATATTTCGTAGCCATGAGGATAGATACCCCAAGACAGAGTCAATCTGATCCTAGATCTTTTGGTGGTACTAGGGTTTGAACTCGGGGCCACATACTTGCTAAGCAGGTGGTCTACCACTTTAGTCCTTTTTTGTTTGGTTATTTTTCAGATATTGGATGCCTAATAAATCTATGTTTTATTTCATATTTGTGGAGCAGAGCCTTTGTGGAGTTTTCCCGGAATCCAACAGAGAGATTTAAAACCCTTCCTTCAGTGTATATGGCAGTGAAGATGTCCCAGCTGAAAGTGTCACTGGAGCTCAGTGTTCATGCTGCAGATGAGATTGAAGGGAAAGTGCAAGGAGGGTCGGTGTCCAAGCTCAGGAACACAAGGTATTTCCAGAAGACTCTGCCTGCACTCACCTTTCCAGACACTGTTTTCTCATGATGCAGAGACTGGCTTGGTAACCAGACAGCACTGTCTCTGACTCCTGTGTGTGCTTGAGCACAATACTTACCCTCTCCAAACTTCAGTGGTTTTCATCTGTTAATAGGACAAATGCCTGTTGTAGAAGACTGTTGAGAAGATTGGGTGGAATCATTTATATAATTTTCAGTTCAAGTAGTAGAGATTAAACCTGATGTTAATGTCTTTTCTTCCTCCATAGGTTTATCCTTCTGAGAACTGTCTTTTAAAGCAAGGGGGCATTTTCTTTGTTTCAGCAGAGTGGAGGGTGGGACACTGTGGAGGTGCAGTTGGGGTTCTGGTTCTTGCCAGCACCAGCTGCCAAGCAGTGTCATTTCCTCTGCCCAATTTGGTGTGGGGCAGGGACTGCCTGCACTGTCTGGTCATTTCAGAGGAGGACACTTGCCAGGGGCCATTGAGCCATGGATCATCTCTTAGAATTTAAATACTCTTTGGTATTTGTAACAGATTCTGTGCCTTTTTGGTCACATCCTCACCATCACATGGGTCGAAGTCTAATTTATCACTTCTTATTTGTAGTGGTTGTATTTTCAGGAGGAACTTGGCAGGAATCTGAGAAGTTAGTGAAGGAAGGGAAATATGTCCATCTAGATTCATGCAGCGTATGGCATTTTGGTTTCTGAGCATTTGGGAATGTGTTGGATTCAAAGCAGAGACCATCCTGCTTGTCAAAGTCAGCCTGTTCCTAATGCTGGGTCACTCTGCCAACTTATCAATAAAAGGAAAAGAGTTTGATCAAATCTCTCTTATAGTTCTTTTCCTTTATTTTAGAATAAAAGTATTAAGAAAGGAAAATTTTATGTTCATTGGATTTGTTTTTTATATCCCTGAACTTTAGCATATACTGTCTTATTGCTTTAAAGGATGAATAATATTTCCTGTGCTTGTTAGATAACCATCTGTGTGTGTTCTAACATAGTATTGAGCCAAGTGTGGATTCTTAGTTTTCTAAAGTCAAAGCCACTCCTGAAATCACAAAGCAGGAAACATTGCAGGTTGTGGAGTTAGAATTTATGTCCTTGGAAGTAGATACTCTCTAAAAGTCTTGGTTTTAGAATGTATTCCTTGTTTCTGCAGGGTAATGCATAATTATTAGAGTGTGCACCTCTTACAGGGCAGCTCAGGAAGTCATGAGAAATTCACCTTGGAGGTGAGATCAAACTTACCATTTCCTGCTCTGTCAGTCATCTTTTTATCCCTAGGACAAATAAACATGAGATAATCAACTTACAAGAGAAAAGGTTTATCTTGGCTCATGACTGCAGAGATTTCAGTCCTTGGTCAGTAGGATAAGTTGATTTGGGTCTGAGGCAAGGCAGCACATCATGGAGGGAGAATGTGGTAGAAGAAACCACTCACCTCATGGCTGCCGGGAAGCAAAGAGAGAACAACAGGCAAGGTCCCAATCATCCCCTTCAAGGACACATCCACAGTAACCTACCTTTCTCTCACTGGGCCCCCCCCTCTTAAAGTTCTGTCACCTTCCAATATGTCCACAGTCAAGCCTTCAGTACATGGGCTTATGGGGGATTTTCCGGATCCAGACAATAGCACTAGCTTAGTGTTTGATTAAAATGTTCATTTCTTATAGAGAAATTAGAACATAGATCATGTGATAACTTCATGTATATAAACACTTTTTATGAACTGATTTTTTATTGTCTGTTTTATAAAACTTGTGTTATATAGGGTGAATGTGGACTTCCAGAAGCAGACAGTAGATCCCATGCAAGTCTCATTCAACACATTAGATCGGTCCCGGACAGTCGCAGATCTCCTCTTGACTATTGATGTCACAGAGGTGAGAATGTGTGCTTGAGTCATTCGAATCTTTCCCTCCTCCGAAATCTTCATATATCGTGTATGTTCATGAAATAAGTTCACACACATAAACCTGTACACTATAGCTATGTGGTAAGCATGGGTGAACTTGAATTATTTTGCTCTCTAAATTAGAATGTGGCTAAAGTGGAAAATGAAACAAATATTCTAGAATTCAAACTAATTTTTAAAATGGCAAGTGTATTTAAAATGCTAAAATAAACATAGTAACAAACATGTTAAAAATTTTGGCACTGGCAGGTGCAGTGGCTCACACCTATAATCCTAGCTGCTCAGGAGGTGGAAATCGGGAGGATCACAGTTGAAGGCCAGCCCAGGCAAAAGAAAGTTTGAGAGACTTCATCTCAGTCAATAAAAGTTGGGCATGGTGATGCCACCTGTCATCCCAGTCAGGCAGGAAGCGTAAATAGGTTCACATTCCAGGCTGGTCTGGGCATAAATGTGAGACCCTGTCTCAGAAATACCTAAAGCAAAAAGGGCTGAGGGGGCCTGCCTGAGTTCAAACCTCAGTACCACCAAAAAAAAATTAATTGCTATCATGATATGTGCCTATATAATTAAATTTTATGTCAACAAAATGAGCATTGCCACCAATATTATTTGAGTTTATTTTTTAATTTCTTTAAAATAAAATTATAATTAAAATATTCAAACAGGGGCTGGCAAATTTAGCTCGGTGGTAGAGTTCTTGCTTAGCATGTATGAGGCCCTGGGGTTTGATCCTCAGCACCATTAAAGAACCCAAAAAACAAAACGGGAACAATAACAAAAAATCCTTGCATGCTTTCTGGCAAATCTACAGCTACACCTCATTAGAAACTTCATGTAAAAGTTTGGATTCCAGACATATGTGAACACTGGTGACTGTATTTGATGAAACATCTGCTTTTCCATGCCAGACCCCGTGTGCCACCACTTATCCATGGGCTGTGCTCTTGCACTATACCTGTTCTTGCCAGCCTGGAGGGCACCTGAGGCCCTGTGGTATTGGCTTAGCTCTGAACTAAACCAACACGTCTTTAGTACTTGGACATGCTGGTGAGTTCTGTGCCTCCAAGAGCAGGATGTATCACACATACTTCCTTACCAGAATTGACTAGGTGTTTTCTTACAAATACCTATTAGAAACCTGTGGACTCAGGAAATCAATGCGAATCAACTCCCTGTATAGCTATCCTTATCTCAACTAGCAAAATCCTCGGTCCTTCATATTATTGCTTATACTCTCTCTTCAACAAAATTAGAGATAAGGGCAAAATAGTTTCTGCTGGGTAGCGAGGGGGTGGGGGGGAGAGGGAGGGGATGGGGTGGGGGGGTGGTAAGGGAGGGGGTGGGGGAAGTGGGGAGAAATGACCCAAACATTGTATGCACATATGAATAAAATAAAAATTAAAAAAAGAAAAAAAAGAAACTTCTGGACTACACATGTACCCAGGAATGAGCTTTTGTAGTATCCTGTGGTCTCCTTTATAGGCTTCATCTCTGTCTGTTCCCCTCCCTTTCAGGTGGTAGAAGTAGGCCACTTCTGGGGATACAGGATTGATGAAAGGAATGCAGAGCTTCTGAAGAAGCTGACTGCTGAGATAAATCAGTTGGAGCTGGTGCCCCTGCCTGTTCACCCTCATCCTGACTTGGTCTGTCTAGCACCTTTTATTGACTGTGACAAGGAACGCTATTTTAGAGCTCAAATCCTTTATGTTTCTGGAAATTCTGCTGAGGTATGTTTTTCTGTAACTACTCAAAGGGAAAGGAGACAAACTTCATAGCAGTTTATACCAAATCTCTTGCAATTACAGGTAGATATCAAATATAAAATTACTATAGTTAAGAGTGAGCCCAAGGTATTTCCCTCGTCACTGTATGTGTGTCCCTTGTCACTGTGTGGATTTGAGCCCAGGTCACTCTGAGAAATTTTGTAGTTACAGAATTAGAGAGGGCCACTGTGCTGCCATTGCTCAAAGAGGTCAATGAGGATGTTGTTTGAGACCCTGTGTCTAAGTGTTCTCTTTCTTTGTCTTCTAGGTGTTCTTTGTAGACTATGGTAATAGGTCTCATGTCGACCTAGGCCTTTTAATGGAGATTCCCTGTCAGTTTCTTGAGCTTCCATTTCAGGTAAGGTAAAAAAGATTCTGTGGAAATGAATGTTGGATGCTCAAAGGAAGAGTCTTGTGGTCCTCTTCCATCAGCTTACCACAGAGCAGCCAAGGGCCAGAGCGGAGAAGGGACTGTGTCACACTCACTCAAAATACATTGCCATAGGCATTTTGGCTTTTTTGCCATTATTGCTTTTGAAGTAAGTTAAGATATAGAAAAAATGTGTTGTTTTAATTCAGTGGTATTTTCTAACACTGTTTCTAAGGCTTCTGGTTATGTTGGCACCAGAGAGAGAGGTGAGGTGGGCTGGAGACATTCCCTTTCTATCATTTAACCTAAGCTGCTGCTGTTGATAAGTGAAGCCAAATTTCTTTAGCTGTGAAACTCTCACTACCTCACATCACTTTCAGAAGGATTCTTGTGAAAAAAACTAACGAGATACAAGAACAAGGTCACTTTTTGGTGGTATTTGGGGGAGATGAGTGTTTTGTCCATTTACAAAACTACTGCCATGTGATTTTTCTGTCTTGCAGGCTTTGGAATTTAAGATTTGCAAAATGCAGCCCTCGGCAAAGTCTCTTGTTTGTGGTGAGCATTGGAGCGGCAGAGCCAGTGGACGGTTTGCCTCCCTGGTGAGCGGCTGTGCTCTGCTAGTGAAGGTCTTCTCAGTGGTACATAGTGTGCTGCATGTGGACGTGTACCACTATTCCGGGACCCAGGACATGGTCAACATCAGAGACGTCCTCATCAGCGAGGGCCATGCTGAGCTCGCGGAGGAGTGTTACGAGTCAAAAGTATGCATCTTTGCTTTTGTTAGAGCACGCATACATGTTTATTTGCCATTGAGACAGAGAAAGACAAAGAATGAGAGAGTATGAATGAGAATGGGGTTACTTTTCTTCATCTCTGGGGGTGTTGTGGGATAGATGGATGGATGATGGATGGAGTTGCTCTTCATCATTTGGCATGTTTTATCAAGATCTGTGGTATTATTTACAATGTCTTCCAGATTTCTCTGAGACTACTGGCTGGATGTTATTTTTGCTGGCTTCCTACTTAAGCTATTTTTTCTTCTTCAAATGAAAATTAGATTTGAAAATATTTTGTATTGCTTTTTTCTTTTTTAATGGACTCTAAGAATTATTTTCATAATAGAAGTAGTTAATTAAACATTTATTTCAGGCTGGGCACCAGTGGCTCGTGCCTGTAACTCTAGCTATTTGGGAGGTTAAGATCGGGAGGATCACAATTAGAAGCCAGCCAGGGAAAACAGTTTGCGAGGCCCCCATCTCCAAACTAACCTCAGGAAAATGGACTGGAGGAGTGGCTCAAGCAGAAGATTGCTTGCTTTGCAAGCATGAAGTCCTGAGTTCAAACCCCAGTCCCACCAAAATATATATATTTCACATATTTCAAGTTTTCTTTTGACTATTGTTTTCACAATCAGTTGTAAAGTTACTTTTCTTGGTCTAAAGGTTTCATAGAGGCTGCTTTTGAGCCCTACCTTGAAGGTCTTTTGTTGTACTTCTGTAATTTCTGCTGGGGATGAAGGATTCTAGGAATTGGAAAAGGGAAACCTAGCAAAATATTAACCGACAAGCCGGTGAAATTCTCAGTTGTGAAAAACAGGAATTATGGTGATACTCCTTGTGGAAAACTGAATTTTATATATAAGACAAGGTTTTTTAGAAGGGACTGGGGCTGAACTCAGGGCTTCGTGTTTGCAAAGCATGCCTTGTTCTGCTTGAGCCACTCCTCCACTCCATTTTGCTTTGGTTATTTTGGAGATGGGGTCTCCAAAGTATTTGCCTGGGCTGGCCTTAAACATAATCCTCCTGATCTTAGCCAACCCAAGTAGCTAGGATTATAGGCATGAGTCACCAGTGCCTGGCTTACAAGATAGTTTTTTTTTTTTCTAAAGGTTTCTTTCCTTAAATTCTCTGATAGCTAAAACTTATTATTTCTTTTGTTTGAATTTTAAAATGAACTTGATAAAATTACCTCCCACCAGGTGCTGGTAGCTCATGCCTGTAATCCTAGCTACTCAGGAGACAAAGATCAGAGGATCACAGATCAAAGCCAGCCCAGGCAAATAGTTTGCAAGACCCTATCTCAGAAATACCCATCACAAAAAGGGCTGTGGAGTGGCTGAAGGTGGAGGCCATGAGTTCAAGCCCCTGTACTGCAAAAAAAAAAAAAAAATTATCTACTTGTACTTTAATGACATATAGATCAGAATAAGATTATACCTATGAAATGTTTTGATTAGGTTGGGATAGATGCTTTTAGTATAACTTTTCCTAAACAGAACGTACTTTTCTTATTTTGTTCAGCAAAGCCATGAAGTCCTCAAGGATCTCTTTTCCAAATCAATGGAAAACTTGGTGGATAGGTCCGTGTCCTCCCCCATGAAGGATGAGGAGAAATACCTGATCCGAGTGTTGTTGGAGAGCTTTTCTTCCAATAGGCTGGGTGCCCCAAACTGCAAGGTAATGTGCAAAAATATTATCTAGATGCTTGGTATCATTCTTCACTGTGCAGTAAGAGTTGGAGCTATAGTCAGTTTTTTTTTTTCTTGTTTGTTTTTGAGACCGGATTGTTTGTACTCAGGCTGGCCTGGAACTCTCTGTCCTCCTGCTTCAGTCTCCTGAATGTAGGATTACAGGTTGCTCCACCATGCCTGGCTGGAAAAATACCCTCTTTAAGGAGTTCTTTTCTCACAGAATCTTGAAAATGTAATTTTTTTGAAGTGTGAGCTGACTTGGGCTTTTTCTACTTTATGGTATGTGGCATAGTGCTTATTGGTCGCATGTGCATTTTGTGTGTACAGGCCATACTCCATGGACCGTTTAACCCTTACGAGCTGAAGTGTCATAGTTTGACCAGAATATCCAAGTTCAGGTATGATTAAATTAATTTTCCCATTAAAATTTTTTCTCTGCTTCTCTATAGACCTCATCAGAAACTGATCTTTCTTTGTATCTCAACTGCTAAAATGTTTTAAACTTATCCTAATTTCTCTCCGAGCTCCAAATCTGAGGTGTTCTTTTTCTTTTCCATGAATGCAGTTTTATAACAGACATATTTTTGAGTGTCTTTTGTCATTTCTTCTGTTCTGGTTGTAACTGTTACTCAGCAGGTCCATGAATGTGTAGAGAATGGTGTTTGCATTGGGGAACAATAGTGAAGAATATGCATTTGTCAGCTTTGTGTAACCAATGAGTTTTATCTGAAGCATGATTGTTGCTAATTGATTATTGCTAATTGAAAAGATGCACTTGACATCTTCACTAATATTATGGATCCAGTGGGGGCAGAAGGGAAAATTGGTGATGATAGCAGAGGGTTTACAGGGTCTTGTTAGGGGCTCTAGAACATAATGGACCCAGCTACACTTGAAGGCAGTGAAGGTTTTCCAGAGGAATTTGAGACCTGAAAGCTGCAGAGGCATTTGCCAGGGAGCAGTGTTTGAGGAGGGGAGGTGAGGGTTGGAGGTGTTCTAGTGACAAGGGCAAAGGCCTAAATTTGAGGGTTTGTCTTGTGAGAACTTTGAATAAGTGAAGTATGATTGAATTGGGTGGAGCTAGGCAAGAGTGGTCTGCAGACCTTGTGACAGACAAGAACAAGTTTCCTAAGGCATGTTTTAGACTTCATCCAAATACAGTTGGAGGCTTTACTATGTGCATTTTAAAATAACCACTTTGGAGAGCTAGGAGTATGCCTCAAGTGGTAGATTACCTGCCTAGCAAACATGAGGCCCTGAGTTCAAAGCCCAGTACCTCCCTCACCAAAAATTCACTTTGGATAATCTCTTCTAAGAGTTCCTCTGAGGACCAGTAGAAGGGGAGTCCTGGGGAAATTGTTGGAAATGAAGATGCTCAGGCCCCACCCAGACTTTTTGAGTGGGCAGGCATTTTCACAAGCTCTTCAGGAGCTCTGCATACACATTGAAGTTTGCGAGGAATGCATTGATTTCTGTGTGCAAGAGTCCTTAGGTGAGCACCCTTCTAAGGCTGGTCCCTGTTGTAACCGAGGCCAGAGAAGGAGGTACAGATGTGGACAGCTTCACAAGAACTTTTAGGAGTGGGACAAACAGGCTGGAGTTCAGTTAAGGTTAGTGATGTGGGATGATGAAGAATGAAGATGCTGTTGTGGAGTTGCTGCTGGGTCTGCTGAGAGGAGACAGAGGAGTGAGCTGCACTGCATTGAGTGCCCTCTGCTGGGATGCAGGTGATGGCTGCATGGGCTATGGTGCAGGACAGAGCAGGGGTAGAGGAGCAGGTTTGGGTATCCTCACACATTGGTAGTACCCACAGGCAAGGAGATGGTGGGACTATGTGGGGACAGTGGAGAGGGGAGAGTAAGTCCTGGTATATGGGGGAGGCTCAGGAAAGGAGACTAGGAGACTGGAAGGCCTGGCATGGCTGTGGACAATCACATTTGCATGTGTGACTGTCTTTTCTGAGGCACACTTATGGGTTGGGTATACTTTATTGCCTGGTCAGTGGGTCAGTAGCTTGTGTCCTGCCCATTTTTTTCAGGTGTGTCTGGATCGAGAAGGAGAGCATCAACTCTGTTGTCATCAGTGATGCTCCTGCAGACTTGCACCAGAGGATGCTAGTTGCAGCCTCACTCTCAGTCAATGCAACTGGTAATTAGAGGGCTTCTGAATATGTCTCCCTCTTTTCTTCTTTTCCTTGACTTGGTTGCTAGGAACAATTTATAATTAGTGAAAAAATTTATGCTTATGTATTATACTTTTAGGCCATTTTCTGAGAATTGGCTGATGCAAGTTTAAGAAATGGAGCATTATTACTTTTTTTAAATACAAGGATGTGGGAATTAGTTGATCATTTGTTAATTCATTCAGTAATTTCTCCATTTGGCTACAAAGGAGACTAAGTCCATGTTCTTGGCCCTGGGAAAACCCGATAGTATAATGAGGGGAAAGAGAAGAAAAGAGTAACCACGTGAGTTATTCCCCAATGGAACAGACACCTGAGCATACTCATGAGGTGTCTCTGTAGGATGTGTGGGAGCCAAGAATAGGGAGTGCTTTCCTTGGAGGGTGACTTCTGGAGACAGACTCAGTGAATAAGGGTGCTGTGGATCAGCAGTACTGGCTAGGAGTGAATGACACCAAGCAGCATGAGGTGCAGGCCTGACAGCTGACTCTCATTCCCCTGTGCAACAGGATCTACCATGATTCTGAGAGAAACCTCTCTGATGCCTCACATCCCTGGCCTCCCGGCACTGCTCAGCATGTTGTTCGCACCGGTGATGGAGTTAAGGTAGGGTTGGGCCTCCATTTGTCCTTACGCAGGCTTTTGTAATGTGAGAACCTGAGCAGAGACAAGTGGACCCTTTCCTGCCTGTTTGTGAGAAGCATTCAGGAAGGGTGTGGCTGTGACCCCCTTCTTGGTGGTTTGTTCATTCTCCTCTGTACTTCATGTGATTCAGCTTTGTTATCATTCATGTACTCATGGCCCCTGACTTATGATGGTTTGGATTCTGAGTTTTTTACTTAATGGTGGTGCAAAAGTAATACTTGTTCAGTAGAAACTGTATTTTAAATTTTGAGCTTTGATGTTTCCCTGGGCTAGTGGTATGATGATCCTAGGCATCTCTGATCAGCTCATTGGTCCTGAGGGGAGACGACCTACACCCTGCATTTTCAATTTAGGGTATTTTCAACTTTGGGTGTGCTTCTTGGGATTTGAGCTCACCATAAATGGAGGAGCATCTGTCCTTGTGCTTGGACTTGTTTCAGAAAGGAGCTCAGAGAGCTGGCAGAGGTACACACAGTATCATGGGGATACTGTGTATCCCCATGTTAAAAGCTGGCAAAAGAATAGGAAGTGGAACTGTGAATTTTGCTCATAGAAAATAACGTGTCAGGCATCCTGTTGTCAGCAGGCTGTGAATGAGAATGTAAACTTTCTGATGGCTGGTTCTCAAGGGGGAACCCTGGTCAGTGCCACTGCCCACAGAAACTAGGAGGCAGACTACCCAGAAAATGGAAGCTCTGTGCCAAGACTGAATAGGGATTTTTCCCCCAGAGACTTGAATGCAGAGAACTGTGTGATGAGATGGTCATTTAGTAAGGGTCCCAGTGCTGACTGGAACTTTGACTCTGCAGCTGCCTAGCAGTGTGAGAGGGCACTGTGCCATCCATTGCTAGCCAGGGGAAGATGAGACCTCAAGGCATAACTTTCACTTGAGTGTGTATCATGTTCGTGCTGCAATTAAAACTGGAAAGTCATGGTGGAGCCATTATAGGTCAGTGGCTGTCTTTGAATCCATTCGCTCACCTAGGGAGTCATCAGGAAGGGAAGGGGTAGCCTGGTGCTTTGTGGATTTTTATCCAAACTCTGCCTCTAATTAGTTGTATGAATTTTAAGAAAAACTGTTGAATCAGTAGCAACCATTTTTGAAAAACTTGTGGAAGGTGGAGGACATTTAGTTGAGACAAGCATTTTCCTTTCTTTTCATTCCAGTGTTCTGTTTCCTGGGCAAGCAGGACAGGATGTTTAGTCTGATCTGACCTGGGGAACCTGTCACCCACTGTGTTGCAGGCATGCTGTCCCGGAGGGACTATCCTCAAGACACCCAGAGAGTGCTTCTAGGCCATATGCATGCCCCTTTCTTTCCACTTGTGACCCACCAACAAGACACTTCTGTTCATAAGGCATCTGATTGCCATTCTAAAGGCTGCTAGGGAGCCACTTGTCAGAAACCACGTCTGTGTCTCAGGTTGGTCTGTTCTTCCAGATCATCCCTGTCCCACCACAGTTGATAACAACTTGAAGACCTGATGGGTTTTTGTTGTTGTTTGTTTATTTTTTGCCACCTCCAACATATTCTTTGTGCAGTAGTGGGAGGAAGGGAAGATAAATGGAGAAGAGCTTACCTTTTGTTTCTGTTTAAAATGGAGAAGGAGGTGAGGTATTTGCCACCCTCCATTGGCAAGGCAAAAAATGCAGGTAGAGGCTCTAGCCCTCTCTGTACCTGGCCTGGCCTGGGTGTTGTGCCTGACTTCTGTCCTCCACTTCCTGCTGCAGGACCTCTGTACAAGCTGTTCTTGCCCTAGTACTCTGTCCATGAGCATGAATACTGACCTTCCCTTTCTCTCCATCTGTGTCTGCCCAGGGTACTCCACTTCTCTTGCCTTGCCCTGTGGTGTTTTTCCTGAACAATTTGAGTAGTCCATGGTGTCAACTCTGGCTCAATGGTGTCATTACTGTTTACCTAATGGAGACATCCTTTCCCTGGGCAAGCAAATGGCTCTGTCGCAACAGGGCCAGTTATCCCAGGCTGGGAAGCACACTAAAAAAGTGTTTTGGCTGGGTGCAGTGGTGAGATGCCATCTGTCCCCCTCCCTTGGTTCTCAGAGCTGCTGCTGGCATTTGCAGCTGTTGGAGGTCACATTAAGTGATGGTCCAGGTTTAGAGGCCAGTACAGCCTTTAGGCTCTGCCTAGCCTGGACACAGTCATGCTTCAAGCTGGCACTGTGGAGGTAGGATTTTTTCAAAATAGCAGTGACAGAGAGTTCAGTCCTTAAATCTGTTAAAAATTAAAGGAGTGGATCATAAGAAGACTTTATTTAACTCGATGTTCCAGTTATACTATGACTGGGAATAAGTGATCCCAAAATGTGAAGGGGTTTAGCACCATATTTTATTCTGCGGGTGAGGCATTAAGATAGGGCTCATGAAGGACAGGTGCCTCTATTCCATAGCTGACAGGGAGTCATGGGAAGCTGTGAAGGTTTGGTCTAAGGTCTGCTCATGTGGCTGGTATTAATGCTGACTGGAGGCCTCGGTTTCTCTGCATGAAGGCCTCTCCAAGAAGTCTCTCTGTGGGCTACTTTGGGCACCTACAGTGTGGTGGCCAGTGCCAAGGGTCAGTATGTCAAGAGACAACCAAATAGAAGCTGTGTTGCAGTGTGAGTCATGCTATGACCACCATCCACCCAGATGCAAAGTGCAGGATCGTTGACTCAAGCAGTCTGGAATAGTACCAGCATCAATGTGGGAACAGCATTCGCTGAGAGTGATGCTGCCTTGTCTTTGGAAGGAGCAGACTGCCACAGTCTGTTTGCTAACTTCCTTTTAAAATTGTTTACAGTACATCCGCACACTGTTTTGGAATTTGCAAAATCTTGACCTACACCCCATATTTTAGAAAAGCCTTGAAGACTTTGAGAAGAATGCAAAATTGCCTTGCTGGAAACGTGAGGTGGTGAGAGATGCCCTCAGGTGTGGTGGAGCAGGCAGCCCTGGGGGTGGGGCCTGGGCCTGTTGCCTGGGGCCGTCTCTCACCCCTGGGGTCTGCTCTTTTGTAGCAGAGGGTTGGGCTGGCTGGCCCTCCCAGGGGTTGAGGGAGGTGTGTGGTACTCAGTGCTGCACAAGGTTGTGACTTTCATGGTGGTGTGCATCCTACCCCTGTGGAGGGAGTGAAGAGTTGGGAGGTGTTTCATGGGGCGATGTCCTTGTGACATGCCATGAACAGTGCTGTGTGACACTGTGTAGGTTAATTCAGTTTCCATCACTGAATATTTAACATAGCTTTTGTATGTGGATATTTCAGACCGACTAACATTTCATTTTTGACGATACATATTTCCTTCTATGGGTTTTATGGGGAGTCCTGTTAGCTTGCAATAGAAGTTCCTTCTCTCTGGTTTGTTTGGTGCATAATTATCTGAAGTTGTCTTCCCAAAAAGCAACAACCAGCTTGTATGCTGCTTCTTCAGGGGAGTGACTCACCTTGGTTATGTCTGTAGCTGCACTTGCTTCTCTGCACAGCACTTGCTCTGTTGTTCTTGTTGTGATTTTGTAAGTTTGGCTTCAGTCAAAAGTATAAATTACAGATGAATTGAGTGTGTTTCTATGGTTTCAATGACTGTTTTTAAAGTTTATGTTAACAGTTAGGATTCCTAGAAGACAATAAGCCCACTGTGTGCTAGTGTTCTCTTACTATGATAAAACACCCAGGATGCATCAGCGCATGAGGAGGGAATAGTTCACTCTGGCTCAAGGCTTCGGAGGACTCAGTCCGCCAGTCGCTTGGCTTCCTTGGTTTTGGGGCCTGTGGGTGAAACATTATGAGCTCACGGCACGGAGCTCTGGCGGCCAGGAAGGAGTGAGAGAGGGGACCGTGCTCCTCTCCTTCAAGGGCAGTTCCCCACTGACCCACCTTCTAAAGGCTGCACTGGCCCCCCAGCAGCACCACAGGCAGGGATCAAGACTTTATCATATGTGGGGCTTTGGGGATGCTTAAGAGCCAAACAGTAGCACCCTGCTTGGGTTACCCTTATTCACCTAACGTTGTAAAGATGAGCGGAGGACTAGCACCCTCGGATGGGTCACTTCAAGGTCACTTCTTAGACTGTCCTCGCTGAAGTGCGTTTGTTGTCGTGTGAGTGAGCAACCAGTGTGTCCCATAGCTGCTATCAGTAAGGACGACAGGTTGTAATGTTGTAATAAAATTGATGAAAAAAGCCCTGATTGTTCTTCACTTCTGTTATAGAAAGTTTTTATATGAATTAAAATGGTAATAAATTATTTTAATAATACAGAGCAATGGTTTAAGCAAACATTTTTGTGACTGTTCTACTGTTCTACAAAGTGAATATTCAGCACCTAATTTGTGCCTGAATTTTAGGTTTCTATTCTTTGAGTTTACTTAAAGCAGGATTCTCTTTTGCTTTTATTAAAATAACTTTAAAAAAAAACCAAGTGAACAGGAGGGAAGCATGTATATGACTAAGAAGAAAGCTGTTTTGCCTAGGGTTTTTTTTTTTTTTATTTTGTATAATCAAGACTTGAGTAGCTAAGTGCAGTGGTGCACACCTGTGGTGCCAGCCACTTGGGAAGTTGGGACATTAGATTGTTTGAGTCCAGTAGTTCAAGGCCAGCCTGGGCAACACAGACCATTTCTCATAAAACGAGACTTTAGAGTGAAGAGGTAGGGGTGTGTGTGTGTGTGTGTGTGTGTGTATAAAGATAACAAAATGAAACTCACCAAACAGTATTTGAAAATCAGCAAAGAGGGAGGAGGTTAAAAGAATGTGGAAGAAGGGGTGAACTTGGACCAAGTGCACTGTACACATATATGGAATTATCACACAAAACCTCCTGTACCACTAATGTATGTTAGTAAAAACAGCAAAACCCCACAAAACTTAATTGATGTGTAAACTTGAAGTTAAAAGTTCTGGATATCTAATGATAACCAGGTAAGTGATAGTAATTAATAATACTGTTGTTCACTTGAAATTTTCTAAGAAGATCCTATGTGTTCTCATACACACAGAAAAGGCAGCTATGAGGCAGGTGGTGGATATGCTAATAAACTTGATTTGGTAATCATTTCACAGAGTATACACTCATCAAAACATACTCCTTAAATATGTACAATTTTGTCAGTTATACCACAGTAAAGCTGGAAAAAAGACTAGCTGATCCTGGTGATAGGAAAAAGTCTGAATGAATTATCAAAAATTAGCACTCAGTACTAATGTCTATTCTTTGTGTAATTATTTGTTGGACCCATTGGGTCGAGGCCCTAGCATTTGTGTTAGTGTCTGCCAGTGAGAACTGAGGTCAGAGGACCCTGGGGGCTTGGTGAGGGATCCTCTGGAGGAGAGGTGAGAGCCCAGCTGGGCCAGGAAGAAGGCAGCCTGAGGTGCTGTGGAAGAACTAAGCAGAGACTGCTTAGCTGTACTGTGGCTTGTGTTGAGAATGTTGCTGGAAATGACAGATCCACTGATTGAGAGCCCTTCAGCAAGGCAGTAGTGTTGCTGCATTTGTTTGATCTGCTCCCACTGTTTGTTACTTGGAAAAGGTCTGCAGAAGCAGGAGTAGAGTGGGGGAATCAGTCTGAAAATTATTGTGTGTGTGTCCATCTGAGAAGTGGCTGCAGTTTGGACCAGGCTGGTGTCATGGATGGAGAGGACTGACAGATGCAGGGAAAACTGAGAGAAATGGCAGGATGTGTAGATGGTTGAGGTGGGGCAGTTTTTGACAGAACTGGGATAAAAAACTGTATCATATGTGTAGTTGTTAGGGATGGGAACTTGGAACAGACAAGTATTAGGATGGATTTGTTTCATAGTCACAACTGTGTGTACAACCTTTTCTCCAAAAACCTCCCTAGTGAAAATTTAACCCATTGAGGTATGTGATTAAAGAAAAAAAAAACTCTTTTCATTATCTTCTGCAGCAGTAAGAAACTTGATATTGGGTTAATATGAATATTTAGTTTACTATCCTTGTAATATTTCTATTTTTAGTGTAAACCTAGAAGAAACACAAGTAAAATTAGTTACTATACCAGTAGGATGATCTTACCAGTTAATTCCTTAAAGTTAAAATGGTGGTTTAACAACTGTGAAATAATTAATTCCTCTCAAAATGTTTTGTGCAGGGTTGATCGGGATGGAAAATGCTATACTGGTGTTCTTTGTGGTTTGGGATGGAGTTCAACTACAGAGGCTCCTATACTGCCGGAGCATGACATTGAGCTAGCATTTGATGTGCAGTTCAATGTAGAAGATATTGTCGAGGTTAGTGTGACATATTCATCACGGTCGAATGGTGATCTCACTCTCATTTGGCGTTTGCACCCCTGTAATGTCGTGTCTACCACAGCACATGACGTGGAGACATGCTTGCTTTCCTCCCCAAGGTACCTGTCCTTCCTGATGCCCTCCATACTGCCTTGTAGAATGAGCACTCCTTTCTGGCTCTTTGCCGCCTTTGTTCTGTGAGACATCAGTTCCTGATCATTGGTATAATCTTTCATTTGGTGTCTCCTGGTGCAGTTAGATGGAACCTGTGCTAGGTTAGGAGGAGCTGTGGGTCTCTCTCTGGATGCTTTCCTGATGGTACACATGGAGAAATGAGGAAGCACCCCCCTCAACACACACACACACACACACACACACACACACACACACACACACACACACACACACACACACACACACCACCCCCCCTTGCTCTGTGCAGGCCTGGGTGCATGCAAGACTCCAGAGCAATTGTGCACAGTGGGTCCACCATTGTGCCTGTGACAGGTGTACCCCAGGTTAAGCTTTCAGAACTGTGAAGCCATTGGACAAACAAGTTCTATGCCTTTTGAATCTAAAAGTAAAAAACATGTGCTTGTTTTTGTAGGTTTTTGCTTTTGTATCTAATTGTTCTAGTAATTTTTTTTTTTTTGCATTTTACAAAGTGGGACCAAAATACAACTGATCCATCACCACAAATAGTTTGAGTAAGGTATTCCTGAGCACTCAGACTCCTTTCCTTCTCAGAAGTTCCATGAAATAGGTGAATTGACACAGCTGCCAGGGTAAAGATGCAGCAGGGGGAGTCATGCCATTGGCTGTCCCAAGGACAGGAGTGGTCAGTTTCCTCTGCCTTTTGATTTGTTGGTTTAACTGTTAAATATTAATTGACCTTTCACAAAAAGGGGTGTAAGAGTTTAAAAATAACTCTTTAGGTCATAGGCTGAATTGTAAAATTTAAGACTAAACATTCTGAAAGCAAATACATGAGAAATCTATATAAATTCAAATTTGGCATGAGAATGTAGATATTACTCCAAAAATACAATCTGTGAAAGATAAATCAATTAAGTTGGATTTTACCAAAAGAGGATGAAGAAAAACTGCACATTGGGAGAAATATTTATGAATCACATATCTGATACAGGACTTGTGTCCACAATATGTAAGGAGCTCTTACAACTCAGTAATAAGAAAACAAGCAATTACGTGAGAATATGGATGGCAATGAACAAATGCTCAGTATCTCATGTCATTAGGAAAATGCAAATTAAGACCACAGCGTAGCACTACATAACCTAGTAGCATGGCTCAAATCCAGAATGCTGACAATTGATGTTATGGGGATAGTGGGGAACAGTGGGAGCCTCGGTCATTGCTGGGGTTGCAGAGTAGTGTTGCTTTTTGAATCATCTCTCTCTCTTTTTTTCTTTTTTTTCTTTTTTTTTTTTTTGCAGTGCTGGGGTTTGAACTCGGGGTCTTTGAGCTTGCTAAGCAGACACCCTAACACTTGAGCCTTGCCTCCAGCCCTTGGTACTGCTCTTTGGAAGACAGGTCTCTTGCCAAGTTAAGGCCATAATCCCACCTACAGGTGTTCGAGAAATTTGAAGATGTGTGTCCACAGAGAGCCTTATGTGAATGTTGACATGGCAACATTCATGCTTGCTAAAACTAGGATAGATGAAGAGATCCTTCAACCGGGGACAGATAAGCAAACTGTGGTGCAGCCATACAATACTGTTCAGTGGTGAAAAGGAATGAGTATTGATGAGTGTTAAGTGCATTTCACTACACTAGACAGGCCACACTCAGGGCCTGTTGTGAGATTCTATTCAGATGACATTCTGGACAGAAAGCAGGAAAGTGGTTATTGGCAGGTGGGGAAGTTATGACTCCAGGGGGAATGTCTGATGCTCTGACTGATTTCTAGTGAGATTTTTCTGGGATGGGAGTCAGGGCTCCTTGGAGAAATGACTGATTCTGAGCTGGAGCAGAAATATACCAAGGGAGCTGAGGCTCTTGTAGTGTCAGGAGGTAAGGATGAGCTTATAGTACTCAGGGAGGGGGCAAGTCAGAGCATGTAGGAGCCAAGCAGAGAATGAGCTCCCAGTGGCCAGAGCTCTTAATAGTTTGAGCAAGAAAATAAGTAACTTAGGGTTGGATAATAGCCCAAAGTATAAAAAATTCATGTGTCCATAGAGATAGAAATCAGTGATTGAGCCAGGTACAATGGCTCATACCTGTAGTTTCAGCATCTTGTGAGGTAGAGATCAGGAGGACTGTGATTTGAGGTCAGCCTGGGCAAAAAATTTGAGATACTCAACCTCAACCAGTAAGCTAGGCATGGTGGTGCACACCTGTGGCTCCTGCTGTTGGGAGGCCATAAATCAGAGAGTCATGGCCTGAAGCTGCCCCTGGACAAAAATGTGAGGCACTGCCTGAAACACAGTTACAGCAAAAAGGGCTGGAGGAAAGGCTCAAGTGGTGGAATGCAAGGCCCTGAGTTCAACCTCCAGCACCACCCAAAAAGATTAGTGCTTGAACAACTCAGTGAAGGAAAAGAAATAACTCTCTCTACAGAATTCCCATGAGTGTAGTTAGGTGCTGCCTGTCCCCAAGAGTGGACAAGGCTTGGTGGACCATGGAGTAGGGAAGGGGGAAGATCTTTTAAGAGGAGAAGCCTGGCTGCTCCTTAGCTGTGTGATCCTGGTCACATCCCCAGTGATAGGTCATGACGGTTGCAGGCTCAACGGTAGGATATGACGAGAAGGCATTTCCCCTTTGCCTGTTACAAACTGGAGAACCGTCTACAAAATACCAGACTAGACCTCCTCAAAACTGCCAAGGTCTTAAAAAATAAAAAGCTGAGGAGCTGTCCCGTATCACAGGAGACAAGTTCAGTATAGTGCCTGGAGCTAGACCTGGAACAGAAATGGGACACTAATAGGAAATAGGTCAAATCTAACTAGCCCAAAGTTTAGTTAATGGCAGTGCCAGAGTTGGTGTCTCAGTTGTAACAAGTGTTAAGGGGGCTGCATGTGGGCTTACAGAAACTATCTGCTCTTTCTTTGCAAGTCTGAGGTAAACTTAAACTATTGAAAAATAGAAAGTTTATAAAGAAAAAGAACTAAGACTAAGGCTGGTTGGCAGCACAGGGCCTTAGAATCTCAGGTGAGAGGCTTTGTAGGCATTTGTAGAGGCATCATCAATAAAGCCAGTAGGAAGCAGGACGTCTGTCACAAGCTGTGTTACCCACAGGTGAGGCTGTGGTAAAAGAAGAGTAAATTCTGAAGTTTACACTTGCTGATTCTTGATTTTTTGCTGTTTTTCCATAAGATAATGATTATTGATGTTATTTTCATAATTCTCCCAGAAACTATACCGATGATACAGAGAATATGAGTGAATGCTATGAATTACTTATTGTGGGATGAAATTCAGCTATGTGTAGCTGAATTTATTTATGTCACCATTTATTTACAGATTAATATTCTCAGGGCTGCTATCAACAAGCTAGTGTGTGATGGGCCAAATGGATTGAAGTATCTTGGGCCAGAAAGAATTGTGCAGTTACAGGATAATGCTCGTCAGAAACTTCTAGGGTAAGTTGTTCAAGGACTTAGGCTTTTCTCTTCCTGGTCAGCTTTCATAGCTGCCTTGATTGTGGGTGTTTCAAATCATCTAGGAAATGCCCAGGTAGCCCCTGGAATGTGGGCATCACACCCCTATGTCAGGATGCAGGCAGAGCAGAGGGGGCATCTGCTATGGGCAATGCAAGAAGTGTTAAAGGGATCATTTTAGACAGAGCATGGAAACCACAGTTGGTGGTGCAGTGTACCCACCACCAGTGGGCACCATAGTACCTTGGGGTGGTAGTGGAGCCTGGGCCCGGGCGGCTCAGAAGCCCACCTGACTGGAGCTCCCTCACAGCTCTCACCTCTTGCTGGACTCTCAATTGCCCACACCCAACCAGAGTTCAGATGGCAAGGGATGCTCATTGATGTAACTCATGAGCCAAAGTCAGACTGGAGGGCCGGAGGAAGCTGAGAAGATGGGAGCAGTTGGGAAGAGAGATAGAAGTACCTACACCCAGGACTGCAGCCTTGTCTCAGAGTCACCAAGAAGGCTGGGACCAGTTCCTCCTGCCCCACAGTCTGGAGCTGGCCAGGAGCTGGAACCATAAGCGCAGATGGCTTCTGGTGTCACAATGACTTTCTTCTCCATTCTATACCCTTGTGGTAGACCTTTCTTAATTTAGCAAGTGCTTTAAAAAAGGTATTGAATATACAAAGCTGCCTTAGAAATTGTGGGAAAGGCTAATTTTAGTTTTCTCTCCTCACTTTCTTACAAAAAAGTTTTTCTGCAAAGTTTTTGTGTTAAAGTTTAGTACACATAAAGTATAGGTGCTTCTTTAGCCTCTTACACCCATTGTATCCTCACCCTCTACAAAGTAATTGTGTCCTGAGTTACTAGGCCAGAGACAGGTGGTTTAGGTTGGTTTGTTTGGAACAATTGAATGATTTTAGTGAATTTATGGAGCTGTGGAAATGATCAGCACAACACAACTTTACGTTGCTATCATTCATAAAAGTTCACTCATAAACATTGTTGGGGAAGACTGTTCTGCACGTTCTTTCAACTGCCTCTTGGCTGCTTAAGAATGCGTCTGGGGCCTGGCAAGCTTCCCTGTTTAGGGATCCGGTATGCCCGTGACCTGGGCTGCATGATTGTGCTGTGCCAGCCCCACACTGCAGGGAGAGGAGGGCAGCGTTCAGAAAGACATTAGCTCTGCAGATGTTTGAAACAGAATTGTGGTAGTGTTCGTCCATTCTATAAATTTACTGAAACTAATGAATCTTGTACTTAAGATTGATGAATTTCATGGTATGTAAACCACACCTCAAAACTGTTTGCAGCAATTCCTGTTCCACCCCCAGCCCTGGGCAACCATGGGTCACTTTCTGCTTCTATAGATCTGCTCTCTCTGTTGTTCTGATATCATAAAAAAGCTTGGCTTCTTTTAATTAATATTTCTGAGATTTATCCATGTTGTAATGTGTTCTTTCATTTTTACTAAACATTCCACTGTTGGTAAATGTCATGTTTTGTTTACCCCTTCACCAGTTGATAAAGTATTTGGATTGTTTCCAGCATTTGGCCTATGAATAAACCTACTAAGAATTGTGAGCATGCATTTTCAGCTCTCTTGGGTAGAAATCTAGGAGTGGAATTGGTAGGCTATATTGGTATGTCTGTGTTAATTTTTAAGGAAATGGCAAATGGCCAAGCTGTTTCCAATGTAACTGAGCCTTCTCATGAGCTGTATTTGGTGGCTCCAGGTTCTCCACATCCTCCCTAGCACTGGGGATTGTTAGTTGTTAATACAGTATTTTTGTTTGTAGCCAATCTAACAGTACATGGTAGTATCCCATTGTGGTTTTAATTTGTATTTAATGACTAGTTACATAGAACATCTTTTTATATCCATTTTAGCCATTTCTGGTGAAAAATCTGTTCAGATCTTTAGCCTATTTAAAAATGTTTCTCATTGAATTACAGGAATGCTTTATAAATTCTAGATACAAGTCTCTTAGCAGACAAGTGTTTGCAAATATTTCTCCATTGTATGACTTATCTTTTCATTTTAATATATGTTCTGTAGATCACAAATCTTTTATTTTGATGAAATATACTTTATTTTTTATTAAAATGGATTATGCTTTGGGTGTTATATTTAAAAAATCTTTGCTAAATCCAAGGTCTCAAAAGTTTTCTGTATTCTAACATTTGCTTTTTTTTTTTTTTTTGGTGGGACTGGGGTTTGAACTCAGGGCTTTACACTTGCAAAGCAGGCACTCTACCACTTGAGCCATATCTCCAGTTCATTTTGCTCTGATTATTTTGGAGATGGGGTCTTGCAAACTATTTGTCCAGGCTGGCCTCAAACTGTGATCCTCCTGATCTTAGCCCCCCAATTAACTAGGATTATAGGCATGAGTCACTGGTGCCTGGCTACATTTGCTTCTTATATTTAGGTCTTGAGTATCCTTGAGATAATTTTTGGTGTGTGGTTGGCAGTGTAAGTCTCTAATGCCGTGGTCTTGTGTATAAATAAATATCTAATTGTTACAGCATCATTTCCTGAGAATCTTCCTTTCCCCATTGAATTCCTGTGGCACCTGGGTCAGAGATTAGTTGGCCATAAAGGAAGGTTTTATTTCTGGACATTACAATATGCTCTGTCGGTTATATCTGTCTTCATACCAGTGCTGTCTGTTCTGTTTGCTGAGTCCTGAAACTGGGTAGTACTCATCCTCCTGTCTTGTTCTCCTTCTCAGTTGTGTTTACTCTTTCAGATTCTTTCCTTCTCACTCTGTGTAAGAATTAGTGTTCCAATCTGTGCAGGAAGCTGGACTGGCATGTGACAGATTGTGTTGAATCTGTACGTGAATTTGACTGTTGCCATCTTAATGTCAAGTCATCCAATCTAGGAAGAAGGAATGTCTATTTGGAGCGAGCCAGGTGACAATTCCTACTTCAATAAACCCTGCTCCAAGTACTGCTTTCTAATTCTCTTCCAGAACTCCTAGGGGTCACTTGCTTATTTTTGAGATAGGGTCTCTCTTTATGAGAGACCTCTCATAACACTGAGAGACCTCTCTCTCAACACTGTTTTATAGTCTTCAGTGGGCAGGTCTTCTACTTTTGTTATTATTCCTAAATATTTTAGTCCCTTTTTATGCTGCTATGAATGAAATTGTTTTCTTAATTTTAGTTTTGAGTTGTTCATTTCTAGAAGAATCTTATATACTTATCTCTTATCCTGTGACCTTGTTAAACTGCTATGTTAATTTTGGTAGTTTTGTAGATTCTTTATAATTTTCTACATATAGAATTGCTATCAGTGTTATGAAATTGCTGTCTCTAGTAATTAGTTCTTGTTTTAAGGTCTATTTTATTTTATCTGATACTAATATAGTTACTCCAGATCCCTTTGGTTACTATTTACATGGCATAACCTTTTCTGTCCTTTTACTTGCAGCCTATTTGAATTTTTGAAGTTCTTTATTTTCTTCCCTGTATTTTTGTTCTCCTATCTTGTTAGAAGATGTTACATTACATGTGCATTTGTGTATCTGCATTGTGTATACTTAGTATACTAACTGATTGATGTGTTCATGTGATTGGTGGTATCCCTGGTCCCTGAGGCTCTGTGATTTTTCTTCAGTCTTTCCTTTCTGCTCTTCATATTAGATAATTTGTATGGATTTATCTTTAAGTTTACTGATTCTTCAATATAATATCTATCTATGCATTTTCCATTTTAGTTACTGTGCTTTTTTATTCTAGAATTTGTACTTTTATATAGTTTTAATCTTTGAGTTATCTTTGAGTCATTCATTTTTTCCTTTAAATCTTTAAACATAGTTTTCCATAATTCTTTGAATGTACCTGTAATGGCCACTTTGAAGTCTTTGTGTGTTAAGCCCTCATCAGGGCCTACTAAAGTTTCTGTCACTGCTTTTTTTTTTCTGAATAGAGTCACATGTTCCTGTGTCATGGCATGAAAATTGGGCATTTTAGCCGGGTGCTGGTGGCTCACACCCGTTATCCTAGCTACTCAGAAGGCAGAGATCAAGAGGATCATGGTTCAAAGCCTGCCCAAGCAAATAGTTCAGGAAACCCTATTGACCCTATCTCGAAAAACCCTTCACAAAAAAATAGAGCTGGTGGAGTGGCTCAACGTGAAAGCCCTGAATTCAAGCCCCAGTAGCACCACCAAAAAAAAAAAGGGCATTGTATGAAATGCTTATAATAGCCCCTGAGTCTTCTGTGTTCCATTCCTTTGTTTTTAATGTGCTATAAATTAAATATTCTCTGATCATAACTACAAAATTTTTTACCTTTTTAAAAGCTCTTGTAGGTCTAATTCTGAGGGTAGTATGATCATAGTAGTGTTTTCAATTATTAATGCATAATTAGGATAACTTGATTTTTTTTTCTTAATTTCAGCTTGTTCTGTCAGTTGAGACCTAGAGAGAAGATTGTTCCTAAGTGGCATGAAAAGCCCTACGAGTGGAATCAGGTAAGTGAGAAGTGGCTGTGTGTGGATGAGGGGGAGGCCACTGGGTGGACACAGGCCCAGGGGATGAAGCAAGGTGGGGGTGCACGTGGCAAATGGCTGAGGCCATGGAGCAGACCCTTGATACCCTTGGCATCTGAGGGTGTGTGGTTCCAGAGAGATGGCCATTGAGGAAAAAACACCAATGATCAGGAATGCAGAGTTCAGCCATGTGCTGTGGATGCTTGAAGTATTTTTTCCATGATGCCACCCACCTTCTGTTAGAGACATGCACCTTTCAGCAAGCCTTAAAATTTCATTTTATCGCTTGAATTAAGCACATTTACTTTTACTTAGCTTTAGGAGTACCATTTGCTTTTGGGAAGGCAGATTTTCACAAAATGAAGGGCAGGGAAATAGCATATCACACAATGATTTAAACACAACTGAGGAGCAGGACTGACTGAGAGCTTCTCTATATCCACCGAGCCATGTAATGTACATGTGGGAATTTAAAATTTTTGTTTTTAAAATTTCTTTTGATTTTTTAAAACTATTTTTGACTGTGCTTGGCCAAACTACATGTAATAAATCTGAACAAGGAGGGCTTACTGTAATGCCTTGGGAAAAGGCAGACTCTGGGCAGATGCTCTGTGAATTTGGAAAAGACAAGTACAAGTGCCTGGAAGGGACCCTCCAGCTCCTGTTGTCTACTGAAAACTCTGCTTTTCTGTTCCTGTCACTGGGCCTGCTTATTGCCTTTAATTGCTTGGTTGTCTCTGTCTGCTTGGCTGCTATAAAAAAGCACTACAGAGGTCTGGCTCAGGAACAGCAGATACTGATTTCCTACAGTTCTGAGACTGAGATCAGGGTGCCAGCCAACAAGATCAGTTTTGGTGAGGGCTTGCAGTTGGCTGCCTTCTTCCTGTGTCCTCCCATGGTTAAGATAGAGAGCAAGTGAGCTCTCTGGTATAACACTAAACCCATAATAAGCACCCTACTCTCTGACTTCATTTAACTCTAGTCCCTTCCCAAAGACCCCACCTCCTGGTATCATCACACACTGAGGGCCAGTGTGTCAACATAGGAATTTGGGGGACGCAGTTCAGTTGTGAAGCAGAATAGGGTCCATCTTTGACCCTTTAACGTTTCCTCTTTTAAGGCTTAGAAAATTGAGTAAGATGTAGTTTCAGGGAATACACCAGCGGGAGGAGTTTTAAGTTTAACTCTAGGGTAAGGGATGTCTTTGTAAGTAAGCCAGCTGGGGCAATAGTTCCTCATCCCTTTGGTGTTTAGGTTAGATTGTGCTCCTTAGGATGTTGTGTTTCCATCCTGAATCTGTGGTTCTTCCTCTGTGAGACTGTGTGTCTCTCTGTTCCCCTGGATGGATTCCCCATCTGGATCCCCCAGGACCATCACCAGAACCACCTCTGCCATTGCACAGAGCTCTTCATACAACCAGCAAATTTGTTAGACTCAAGTAGGGTGTGTGAAGTTGATACAGTAGCAGAAAGCAGTTTGAAAGAAGCCTTTCATTTTATAGTTAGTGTGATTTAGAAAACTTTGTGTTTTAAATAAACACACTGAAGTTACTGTTCCTGTTTATATAGGAGAGTAGGGGAAATTTCTCAGTAAAGGTTACCCTATTATTAAACATCAGGTTAAAAGTGAATTACCAGATATATAGTATGAAGTATGAGACTAGAGAAGTATGTTTTTGCTGACAGTACTGGGGTTTGAGCTCAGGGCCTTGCACTTGCTAGGTAGATGCTCTACTACTTGAGCCCACATCCCCAGCTTGTTTTGCTTTACTTATCTTTCAAATAGGGTCTTGTGTTTATGTCTGGGCTCACTTATGACTGTAATCCTCCTATTTATGCTTCCTGCATAGCTGGGATGACACTCAGCTTTTATTGGTTGAGATGGGGTTTCACAAATATTTTGCCAGGGCTAGCCTCAAACTACAATCCTCCTGATCTCTGCTTGCCAAGTAGCTAGGATTACAGGTGTGAGCCATCATATCTGGCTTATAAATAGTTTTGAAAAATGGAAAGGACACTTTTTGCTGTCTTACATGTCTACATATGTGTGTGTATAATTTTATTTAATTTATGTCTAGTAAAGCCCCATCACAGAGCCTGATTGGTCCTTTTGTTTGCCTGGTAGGTTGATCCAAAGCTGGTCATGGAACAGGCTGACCGAGAAGGCAGCCGGGGGAAGAATACTTTTCTCTACCAGCTTCACAAGCTTGTTGTGCTCAGTCCCTAAATGTGGGCAGCATGCACCCAGCTGCATTGTAGGAAGCCATGGAGGCTCCTCTACGGCTGCTTCCCACGGCCAAGCATCGCTGCCCAGGCCTGCTGTGCCCAGGGTCTTCTCCATCTGCTGGCTTTGCTTCTGTTCTGGTGGGAAGAATTAGAAAGTACAGTCTTTTCTAGAAACAGAAAATCACTGTATTAAATACTGTGGAAAAAGTTGTTGTGCAAGAAGACTTTGTTTCAGAAAAACAGTATTTTGCCTTAAATGTTTGAAGGTAAATGTAAGTAACCAGTCTCACACATAAGAATCTAGAGCATGCTTGCATGTCCTGTCCTGTTGTAGGGTTAGGCCTGGCATGCCGGAGAGAGCAGGACTTCCAGGTGGCCACAGGGTATGTGTGTGTGGATATGTTTTAAAAAACATGTGGCATTTTCTCATGAGGGAAAGTATCCAATTGTGGTAAACTTCAGTTTTATATATTTTAGATTTTTAATTAAGGTACAGTTCTTGGTCCATGTTTTGGAAGTAGGAGAAATGACTTGGCAACTAGCATAACTGTATTAAAACAATAAAAACATTAGGTGACATTTTTGTTTCTGATAGTTTTTAGCCAGAGGAGGTTAATATGTGTTTCATTCTAGAAAGATCTGAGTTTATAAAACTGGTGAAGCAATGTAGTCCTCTTTAAAAAAGTCAGTTCTTAGAGGGAGCAAGATGATAGATTAGAGGCATCCAGCACTCACCAGCTTCTCCATGAGAGAGAATTAAAACTACTAGAGAGAGCTGGTGTACACCTGTAATCCCATCACTTGGGAGGCTGAGGCAAGAGGATAGAAAGTTCAAAAACAGTCTACATAGTGAGAGCTTGTTTCAAAGAAACACAAAGACAAAATACCACTGCTCCCTCCCCACCCCCCCAAAAAAAAGCCCAGCTGCGCAGTAGTTACTCATCAAGGTGGGAAACACTAAAGTTCAAATGTGAACCGAAAGAGGCTTGGACAAGCCCAGAGAGAGTGGAGAAGAAAGTAAGACAGAGCACACCAGCATCCATGGGGCTCTGGGGGGCAGGGGTAGAGGTGGAAGTAGGGAGAGAACCAGAGAGCACTGTGAGCACAGGACTCAGCCCTGTGCAGAAATGCAGTCAGAACAGAGGACTTGGAATCTGTTTATCATGTGAACATACCAGGGAAGTTATCCCTGCTTCCCAGCATATGTTCACAGAGTAATCATGGGGAGCCACCTCCAGAAGATACTGTCTGAGCTTGCTGTTCTATCTGTGGGAAACCTACAGCAAATATGGATAAACTGAACCAATGTCTGCCTTAAGGGTCAGTTTGGCTCCAGGGGACAGCCTTTGAAATAAAACTTCTGAGACCTTTGTTGGGTAAGAAACCTGTCTATGATGGATAAGGGAAGGAGGGTTGCTTCACCTTTAGGACCAGCAACTCAGGGATCCAGTTACAGCAGCTTGGGGGAAAGGAGTGGTTGTATGTGATTACAGGATTATGGGTGTCTTGGAACACCAGAGATTGGAGTGGAATTCACATGGGATCTTGGTTGCCCCCCATTTCGGTGCATATGGTTGCAACCCCATAGCATCTCCTCTCACCATCTCCTGAGCAGGCAATACAAAATGCGCCATGACCGTGATGAGCTGCAGTGACCAGTGTCAGCCCTGCCCTGGAGATCTGCAGAGCAGATAACACTGGACAAAATCTCTGCCAGGGGAAGCTTTGCATTCTGTCCTAAGTTGAACTGCTGAGCAGGGCAGTTGAGAAGTATTAGAACTGCCTCTAGTCACAAACTGCTCCTGCTGGTCATCTGGCAGGAAGCACAAAGGAAAGAGGAAAAGGTGATAATAACCCCTAGACTCTTTCCAAGAGGTACATCACCTAAGAGGTCATGAAAAGAAGATCTGATTAGCATAGGTTGCAAAAATCCATGCTTGCCTGCACAAGTGACCACCTTGGTGGACACATTTTCTTTTTCATTAAGACATTTTGGTTGTACCTGTTTGGTGTGCCTATATGTGTGTGTGTGTGCAGTTTTTAAAATTTTTTTTCTCCCCCCCCTTAATACTTATTTTTTTTATTTTGTTTCTACCTGTCTTCCTTTTCTATAATTGGATCTTCAATCTATGCTCCTTTCTTTTTTCACTTTTTAAAAATGTTTACCTACATTATTGACTTTTTAGTTTATATTATTTTTACCCCTTTTACTATTGTTATCTGACTTATTTTTATTTATGTTCTGGTTACTACTGTATGTTTTCTTTTTAAGTAATGTTGGGGGTTGATCCAGGTGCCTCAAGAACTTTGCGTGGGTGTTCTGTTCTGCCACTGAGCCCAGTGACCATGACCTTGTCCCATTCAAACATTATTAGGTACTTCAACTTAAAGAATAGGGGAGGTAAAAGTGCTCAACTAACAACCTGGGGAGGCCTGAAGACCCATTCCTGGTCATTTTCCCCCATAGCAACAGTAAAGGAATAACAAATGTTATGGTCACTGCACCTGAGAGGAACCTCAGCATTGGCTACTCCCATGCCCTTTTAGACCATACATTGCTGACAAGATTGAGGGAGTATCTATAATATATACTCCCATATATATATGGGTATATAATACCTATATAATCTACAGCATAACCTGCCTGCACTCCCAAAGGGCCCCCACTCTTCTGAGACCAACAGAGAAAGACAGTCACTCAAACTTGGACACACTTTGTCAAAACCCACTAATCACAGCCTAAGAAGCCACAGGAAAGCTACAATAAACCAAATTTAGAATTAAGTTCAACACTACACAATAAAGTAATAACCCAGGACACATTGTCAATAGAACACTGCTCCCTACAAAGGTTGTCACATAAAAATGGAAGAGATTTCCATTCCAAGAGATGCTCAAATCACATTAGAAACACAAGAACTCTGAAAAAGTAAGGCAATATGACTCCTCCAAAAGTTTGTAACTACCTAATAACTAATTACAAAGATACCAAGGTGGATCAGTGTATTTAAATGAATGATTTTTTAAAATAATCATTTCTAAGAGAATGCAAATAAATAGTTGTAGGAATTAATGGAGACAGTGCAGGTTATGAAAGAGCACTTTAATAAAGAGATAGGGTGGAGCTAGCTTTCTCTCACTCCTGGTCTCCTGACTTAACTAGGCTAACTGGGGGCAATGGGAGATGCAGAAAGGACAAAAGATAGGCAAACATGTATAAAGTTGGGGCCAGGTGTGCTGGGTACTTGGATGGAGATGCACAAAAGCATCATTGCTTTTTTTACTTCTCTTTACTCTGCTTCTTTTTTCTGTCTTTAAAACCTTACTTCTAAAGTCTTCTGTTCTTTAAAATCTCTTTCCTTAGACTCGATCTGTTCTGTATTTTCTCTTAGCTTTTCTTTAGCATAACCTTAAAGTCTTTGCCCTCAGACTCGCACTGTCCCATGTTCTCTCTTTAGCTTTCTTTAAAGTCTCGGTGCTCAGACTTGCAGCAAACAATAGCAGCTGCATCTAAAAACTGCATTAGCATAACTCTTAAAGTCTCGGTCCTTAGACTTGCCCTGTCCCATGTTCTCTTTAGCTTTTCTTTAGCTTAGCTTTTCTAAAACCTATGTATAAAGTTCTCAGTGCAGAAAATTGCTCTGGTGGAGATGCACAGCCAGTAGCAACATCAGTGGCAGCCAATCAAAAAACCCCATCAAAAAAACCTCATGTCCTCCTTCAGCAAGTCTTTTATATACAATGGTAAACAAGGAGGTGGAGCAACAGTTCTCTGGGAGGGTCATGACATGACATTGTAACGAGAAACCTGTGTTCCTATTTCTCTGAATGTAAACAACTTAGGAAATGCAGCTGTGCTGCTGCATTTTGCCTACACTGCTCATAATCCACTCCCCACAATAGGGATTCTGAAAAAGAACCAAACAAATCTTGGGAATGAAAAATTCAAGTCCAAAAGCTCGGTAGAAAGCTTCACCAGTAGACAAGATCAAGCAGAAGAAGGAATGATATGGATTGAAGATAAAGTTGATGAGTTACCACATTCAACAGTAATAAAGAATAAAAAGAGCAATACAGTATCTATGAGGCACCGAATATACATAGATGAGGGCAAAGAGCTACATGCTGAAGGCATAGAAAACTTATTCAATGGAATAATAGAAAATTTCCCAAATATTGGGAAAGATATGGGCATACAGGTACAGGAGGCATTTAGAACCCCAGATAGATGTGGTCAGAAAATAGCCTCTCGATGACAAAACTTCCTAAAGTGTGAAGAATATTAAAAGCTGCAAGGTAGAAGCACCAAATCACATATAAAGGCAAACCCCTAAAAGCAGAAACTCTAAAAGATCTGGAGAGCATGGAGTGATGTATTTCAAGCTCTAAAAGAAAATAACTGCCATCCTATGTTATCTCTTTATTTGGGGAGGGGGAGCAGCACTGAGATTTGAACTCAGGGATTCATGCTTGCTAGGCAGGCGCTCTTAAAAACTTGAGCCAGCCCTTATTATCAAATTTGAAATCAAAGGAAAAGTAAGGACCTTCTAGGAAAAGCATAAACTAAAAGATTTCATGACTATTAAACCAACATTACAAAAGATACTTAAAAGAATCCTATACCTAGAAGAGGAAGCAAGATAAACATTAGAGCATGAGAAACAGCAAGTCTCACTAGAAAAGTAGACAAGCAAATGAGAATTAGAAAAGAGTCAAATAGTATTAATTCAGTAAACCATCAAACTTCTGAGATGAATAAAGGAGAAAGAAAAATAAATTTTTAAAAGCAACCAGGAGAGGAACAACAGAATGACAGGAAGTAGTTCATATCTTTTAGTAGTAACCCTAAATGAAAGTGGTCTTTGTTCTCCAATAAAAAGATCCAACAATGAGTGTACTTAGAGCAGGGGCCCTGAACAATGGCTCCTCTGTTTATAACCCACCCAAGAGAAATTTGTTGTCATTGTTAGGAAGAACACAAAATGTATGGCCTTTTTAGGA